TGTCCAATTTGTTTGATGTAAAGTTAACCCCTGCCTTCAGTAACTGGGCACTGATTTAGATCAATCTTGGATTTAGATAGCTCTTGAATTCCTTTCAGCTGAAGCCTGAATTTCACCCCTCTGGGAAATCATAGCAATCTGAAATTTATACTGAACCTTTTAATTCAATTTCAGTTTAATTTTAGATTGTTTTATATTTATCTTTTTTACCATTTGTAAGTTTCTCAGATTCACATCAGTGAGATTGACAGTACTGTAGATAAAATTTATAAACAACAATAACAATAACAACAGCCAATTGCAAAAGGCAGTTTTACTTGGTACAGCTTACATTCAGTGACAATACCTTTAGCACCCTCAAACAACATCACCTGCCTATCCTAGGTCCTTGGGTGGATGAAAATGTAACTACAAGAATACAGTAAAAAATTTGCCTGTTTTTAAAAAAATATGCAATGGCCTCAGAGCCACTATTTTGACTTTTTTTTTTTTATCATAACCTGTGAACTTCTCTGAACCCAGGAAATCCTGACTTTAGAAGAGAATATTTAACAGATTAACAGAGTTGGAAGGGACCTTGTAGGTCATCTAGTCCAACCCCCCAAGCAGACCCTACACCATTTTTGGCAGATGGCAGTCCAGTCTCTTCTTGAAAGCTTCCACTGATGAACCTCTCACAACTTCCGAAGGCAACTTCTGTTCCATGGGTTGATTGTTCTCACTGTCAGAAAATTTCTGCTTATTTCAGGTTGAACCTCTCCTTGTTCAATTTCTATCCATTACTCCTTGTCTGGCCTTCAGGTGCTTTGGAAAACAGCTTGACCCCCTCCTCTCTGTGGCAGTCCCTCAAATATTGGAAGACGGCTATCATGTCTCCCCTGGTCCTTCTCTTCACTAGACTAGCCAGGCCCAGTTCCTGCAACCGTTCTTCATATGTTTTAGTCTCCAGTCCCATAATCATCTTTGTTGCTCTTCTCTGCACTCTTTCTAGAGTCTCAACATCTTTTTTATAGTGTGGTGACCAAAACTGAATGTGGTATTCTAGGTGTGGTCTTCCTAGGGCTTTATAGAGTGGTGTTAATTCCTCACTTGATCTTGTAGCTCAAGGTTGAACTGTAAGGTCCTTGGTGCTCCCTGAGCTTGGATGTATGTTTAAAGGTATTTCATTACTTCAGTCAAGGAACTGCCAATTCAGATAAACAAGCTAACACTAAACAACAGTAATCAAGGAACTATCAAGCACCAATGATGGCAATACAAATAGCACTTATATAACCCCCTATGCAGGTAGTCCTTGATTTACAACACTTCATTTAGTGACCATTCAAAGTTACAACAGCACTAAGAAAAGTGACTTACGACTGTTTTTCACAATTGCAATCTTTGAAGCACCCCCATGATCATGTGATCAAAATTCAGATGCTTGGCAACTGTTTCATACTTAACGACCGTTGTTGTGTCCCAAGGTCATGTGATCACCTTTTGCAACCTTCTAACAAGCAAAGTCAATGGGGAAGCCAGATTCACTTAACAGCTAGGTTACTAACTTATCAACTGCAGTGATTCATTTAACAACTGTGGCAAGAAAGGTCATAAAATGGGGCAAAACTCATTGAACAAATGTCAGAAATTTTGGGCCCAGTTGTGGTCGTAAGTTGAAGACTACCTATAGTGCTTTCTCAGCACTCTCTGAGTGGTTTACAATGTCAGCATCAACAATCTAGAAGACTGGATCGAACTCCAGACTGTGGGCAGAATAAGCCTGCAATAGTGCATTCTAACCATGTTCCTCCCCAGCAGGGGTGGGTTCTAAATTTTTTTACTACCGGTTTTGTGGGCGTGGCTTATTTTGTGGGTGTGGCTTGGAGGCCATGTGACTAGGTGGGTGTGGCTAGCTGGTCAGAGTTATTTCTGGAAGGTCCTCGCACTTACGACCCGACTCATTTGTTTGCTTTTAACACTGATCAGCTGTAGGACGTCCCTTTGAAGCCCCGTGGCAAGAGTTTAAACAGTTTTTTTCCCTCTAGTCATCAGCTGGGACTCAGGAGGCAGCAATAGATTGGGGGTGGGACCAAATAAAAGGTAACAATAACGTGGGTGGGGGGAGAACCGGTTCGGTGACCTCATATCGTCACCGCTACCGGCTTGGCCGAACCGGACCGGACCGGGAGGAACCCACCACTGCTCCCCAGCCTCCTCATTGTCCGACTCCGCTACCAGCTCTGCAGGCTGCTGGCGGACCACAACAGCACCACCAGGGCTCATGATGATGCTACCTAGTTTGGTAATGAAACGTCTGCAAGGAAACAACCAAGCTCAGAGAACACCAAGGACCCACAATCTGTCTTTGTTTATCTCGCATCAGCACCCTATCCTTTGTAGCTCTCCAACAGCCACAAAATTGCCCTGCTGCCTTTCCCTCTTTCAATAGTGGAACTGTTACAATGCCCCCAGGTTTTTCAAAATGTATGGAAAGCGACTTCAAAGGGAAATAGAACATATTTCATGTTTAATTATAAAAATCACAGAGAAGATGAGGCTGGGAACAACAGGGGACACTTTAGCTCCATAGAGGGGTGCCAGCGTTGCTTCCATCATCCTACAGAAGCTGAGTATTTAGAGAATGGAAAAGCAGGGCTGGTCAGGCCAAAATAACCAAATGTTTCCCATACAATATAATTCGGTCCGATTTAACCTCATGACTGTCAAAATAAATCAAAGCGACATCTTGGCTCTCTGTGCGCAGACATCCCAAAAAATCATTCTGTGGTGCACAAAGCGAAGGCTCTGGATTTCCACGAGAACAAACAATGAACCTCAACATGGTTTTTTTTTTTTTATCTAGCAGCTGTCAGGGCAGCGTTTCCTCAACCAATCAGAAGACATGTGGACTTCAACTCCCAGAATTCCCCTAGCCAGCAAACAGAGCTGTTCACCCTGCGAGGTAGTCCAGACAGGAAGCCCAACAAGGAATGCCAGCTTTATCTTTACTATAAAGTTGCATTAACAGTTCTTGCATGTCTGAAAGTTTTTATTTATTTATTTTATTCAATTTATATGCTGCCCCTCTCCGAAGACCCAGGGCGGTTCACAATACACTCAAAAAATCACTATAAAAACCCTTAAAAATTAAAAACCATTCATGGCCGGATCTCGTCAGATCGCAAAGCAAGATCAACGGCCCCAGGCCTGCTGGAAAAGCCAGGTCTTCACCGCTTTTCGGAAGGCCAATAGGGTGGGGATGGTCCAGACCTCAGGAGGTAACTGGTTCCAGAGAGCTGGGGCAGCCACAGAGAAGGCCCTCCCCAGCTGGCATTGTTTAGCTGACGGGACGTGGAGGAGACCAACTCTGTGGGATCTTACTGGTCGCTGGGAGCTATGCGGTAGAAGGTGGTCTCGAAGATAACCTGGCCCTGAGCCAAGTAGGGCTTTTAAGGTAATAACCAACACCTTGAATTGTGACTGGAGACCAATAGGGAGCCAGTGCAGCTCGTGGAGAATTGGTGTAATGTGGGTGTACTTAGGTACACCCATGACAGCTTGTGCAGCTGAGTTCCGGATCAACTGTAGTCTCCGAACACTTTTCAAGGGTAGCCCCATGTAGAGCGTGTTGCAATAATCTAACCGTTTTCTCCCTTCCTTTCCTTTTACCCTCCATAAAACCAGGGAGGGTCGCTTCTTAAACACTTCCTCCTTCCTTCTGAGGTATATTTTGAGATATTCTCCAGTCTGTCTCTCTCTCTCTCTCTCTCTCTCTCTCCCTCCCTCCCTCCCTCCCTCCCTGTCTTCCAAGGTCATTCCCAATGACTATTACAGAAGCCCAGTTTGTAGACTTTGTGCCAGGCTCAGAAGCTTTCTGGTTAGTGAACACCATATCTGCCATTTCACATATGTGGTGGGAATCTACTTACAGTAGTACCTCAGTACTCCACTCAGTGGTCGGTTTCAACATTTTTTACTACCAGTTCTGTGGGCCGTGGCTTGGTGGGCGTGGCATTGCTTAGTGGGCGTGGCATGGTGGGCATGGCAGGGGAAGGATACTGTAAAACCTCCATTCCCTCCCCACTCCAGGGGAAGGTTACTGCAAAATCCCCATTTCCTCCTGATCAGCTGGGTCTTGGAAAGCAGAGAATAGATGGGGGCGGGGCCAGTCAGCATTTTTACTATCGGTTCTCTGAACTACTCAAAATTTCCGCTACCGGTTCTCCAGAACTGGTCAGAATCTGCTGAAACCCACCTCTGACTCCACTGCTTCAAAACTTGTTGAATTTGGTACTCAATGCATTTTGATATAAAAATGTTGCCCTGGTACTCATTGTTTGTTTGGTACTCAATGCACTGCAGTAGGAAAAGGGAGACAGCCACAGCGAAACAGACAGGAAATCAGCCATGCTGGGAAGGTTACTGACATAAGAAAAGGGACAGACAGGAAGTTCTTCCCAGCCAAAACAAAGGGTCATGTGATAAGACATGTGGTTTGTTTGGCATTCATTGTTTTTAGTACTCGTCATGCCTCCCAGAATCAATCAATGACAAGTACCGAGGTACCACTATATCTATTTATCCATCCAATTCAAAACCAGCCAACTTCTCGTGAAAGCTGAGGACACATTCACAGTGAATCTCTTGTTAGCTTTTGGCAAGTTTCATTTAAAAGAAAACTGGAGGACCTTGGTCACATGCTTAAGCAGCATTGTGGGAGTTTGAGCATGACTTCACTCACTCCCGTTTTATGTCGTAGTCTTCAACGTAAAATAGGTCTGTTTATATCATCACCTCTCTTGGTCTCATGGCAGAGGTAAGATTTAAGTGAAGGGCTTCCATGGTTTTTTGCTCTCTTGCCCATTTTAATTCATAATATTCATAACTGCCACCTTGAAGCACAGCACAGAAGGATCCATAAAAGCATAAAACCCAAGAATAAAAGTCAGTTCACCCATCCAAGTGGGCCCGAGACAAAATCAAAACACTTAGAAGAGTAGCAGCTTGTGAAGACAAACCTGCTTGTTTTGAGGTTCTTCTAGGCAGAAGCAGCGTGTGTAAACTTTGCCTTCTGTTTGGGGATTGATCTCAATCAATTCATTGTTCTCCATAACTTCTACATCCCGACGTGTTTTGGAGGCTTCCGGAAAACACTGTTGAAATGGAATCAAGAATCAAAATAATACAGAGACGGAAAGCATTTGTAAGTTGGTATGTTTTTGTGGGTTTGGAAATGAGAGGCTACATTTTTGGGATTCAGGATTTTTAATTAACAACACTTTTAAGAAGTTGTCTTGGTTGTCTGGTTTATTAATAACTCTTAGCCACCAAAGAGAAAACAAACCCTGTTATGGTGCAGCCATATGATCCATGAACTCAGCTACTGTCCTGGGTTAGAAACCGATGACAAATTTTAAGGATAAAGATGAGTAGAATTGTGATGACTGTTTTGATTTTCTACTAATAGACAAAACTCACCAGTGCTTACTTCTGATTCATCTCTAAGACCAATAGCAGTTTTGTAGATATCCAGAGATGGCAGCATTGAAAATGCAGCAGTTCAAAATACAAATTGGTCCACGTTAAAGTCCACATTGAATACAATGGTGTGCCCATGAAGTCAGATCCCCATTTAATTGAAATTCTTGGTTGTATAGGTAGTCTTTGACTTACAACATCTAGTGACCAATTGAAGTTACAATGGCACTGAAAAAAAAGTGATTTATAACCATTTGTTCTGTCCCCCCACCTCACATAGGCAGACACATGAGCAAAAGATGTCTACCAGTAATTTATTTTTACAAGCTGACCTGAATCCTTTGGCAGATAAAAGTTCTGGCAGCTACTTTCCAAATGCCTACCAAGTTTCTTATCGCCTCTAGAAACAGGAGTCAGTGTATCTGTAGTCTGTTGCTGGGGCAACCAAGAGTTCACAAGGCACAAAAGAGTAGTCAGAAGTCATTCACAAAGTCCAAGCTTTAATTCCGAAAGATATCCCATCCGAAGCTCACAATATGCAGTTTTTGTCTGTCACAGAGCCTGCAGAGCAACCCCACCCACTTTTATCCCCAATGGGGCATGGCTCAGTAACTCAGCAATCTCTGGCCCTTCCCCACCTCTTCCTTTGCTGCGCACGCCTCTCCCTCCAACACTGCCTGGGATCAATACCAGATTGATCTTCATCACTCCCTATTAGTGGGTGCCCCGACATGCTTTCCTCCTGGCCTTCAGCTGGAACCTGAGACGTTGCCAAAAAGGAGGGTCCTGGAGTGGGAGGCCTTGTCAGTTCCTCCCCATCACTTTCAGAGTCATCTTCCTCCGTGAGGACAGGCTCGGGAGCCGGAGTCACAACACCATTGTTCATATGACCATTGCAACATCTCCATGGTCACATATTCAAAATTTAGACACTTGGCAACTGACTCATATTTATGACGGTTGCAGTGTCTTGGAGTCATATGATCGCCTTTTGCAACCTTTTGACAAGCAACATCAATGGGGAAGCCAGATTCACTTAGCAACCCTGTTACTAACTTAGCAACTGCAATGATTTACTTAATAACGGTGGCAAGAAAGGTCATAAAATGGGGCAAAACTCACTTAACAAATGTCTCTCTTAGCAACAGAAATTTTGGGCTCAATTGTGATCGTAAATTGAGGACTGGCTGGGGGATTCTGGGAGTTGAAGTCTACCCATCTTCAAGTTATCGAGGTTGAGAAACTCTGTACTAGAAGCTTCTACAGTAGAAAGCCCAGAGATCAAGACAGATCTCCCATGCACCTAGTAGTTACAGGAAAACTAACCCCATGCCTTATAGTTGAATGAAATAGCATGCTGCTATTTTATTCTGAAAAATAATAGACGTGGAATATACTGTAAATAATAGACGTGTAACCTAGACAAATCATTCAGACACTTTTGGGCGTGGGTGTGGATATGTTTGCACATCCAGACATAATACTCTAGGAAGATTGTCCATTTATGTTTGCAGATAAGCATCTGAAGATTCTAGGGTAACGTGGAAAGAGGCAAGAACATTCCCAAAAGACATTCCGCAACGCTTCCAAGTCATCCATAATTAAAAGTGTCATTTTTTTTTTTTTGCAACGCTTTAACAATTACTCACCCCATTGTCGGAGATCTCACAACATCCCTCATGCATTGCCATGGCTGGGTCACAGTAGATGTGCAGCTGCTGAATGTCAAACTAGGAAATAAAAACAAGCATGCTTTTAGGTCAAAATAAAAAATTCCAGATTTTCTCCTTCAGGTCCTGGAGAAGAATCCCGAGTCACCTTTCACCACTGAGTATGTGAGAAATGTTGAGTTTCTCAAGTGGCTTTTTCACCACAGATGTCTCAGCACTTCACACTGTCTTTTGATAGAACTGCAAAGTTTTGGATAGAGAGCAAAGTCTTAAGCCTGAATCCTAGGTTTTGTGGGCTGCAGACATGGCATCAGGCCAACGGCTCCAATCTCAGGACTATCAGCTAATCTCAGATGTCTTGAAATATTGATTCCAGGAGGCTTGCTGGACATCTATTTTGAATCAGAGGAAGAGCACCGATCCTGATGAAAAATATGTACATTTCCCCCCTGCTGCTCCTCGGTTCCCTTAGATTTCAAAATCCCTTCCTTTTGACTCTCTGGGAAAGGAGCATGGCCCTGATCCAAAGTGAAAGAACAAAACAGGCCAATTTCTCCTGGTTGTTTCTTATCTCTCAATTCTTTCAGCCCTTGAGTCACATCTCTTTGGAAGCTGCCTAGATATCAGGCGTGGTCTCATACGGATCAGCAGCCTATGAGTCATGACCCCCCCCCCCGCCATGACTTCACTCATATTATAAGCTGCACAAGTTCTGGCAAGGGGATTTCTGGACCAGCCTGCCAGAAATGACAGCATCGTAGGCACCATCGCTGTCTTCTCTTCCATCCATCACCACAAGCCAGGACTACATGCTGCTTTTGGGCTCTTCAGGATCTGCCTAAAATCGAAAGTAAGTCTTTTCCCAGCATGATCCGACTGAATCTCTTTAGCAAGATTTACTGGGATGAAAAGGTTGGGACTGAAGGAATTCCAGCAACTGAACTATTTCCCTTCTACAATCAACGCATCTCCTTGAGGGTAGAGATTTCTTCATATTCTTGCTTCCCTATACAATGTTTGTATAATAGTTCTTCAGCCACCATTTGTAGTAGGCTTCTTCTTCTACAGGATGCCTTGTGAATTCTGCAGAGGATGCTGCACTTACACCCTCAACAGGTAGCAATGACATCAGGTGGGGGGAAATTACCATGAAATTGTCCAACATACTCCAGAGTTCACTATCCAGGATTTGTGACCTCCTGCCCAGTTGACCACCATAAATATTATGGGTGAGCCAGCCCCAGGTTTTAATCAGCCCTCCTAACAGAAGCTGCAAAAAGGTTGTGTATGTTCTTTTTGGCTGTATACCTAATATTTGGAATCTATTAAAATATCAATAATTGTTTGTTTGGGGCTTGGCTAAAGATATGATCATACAATCAGTGGTGAAATCCAATTTTTTTTACTACAGATTCTGTGGGCGTGCCTTGATGGGCATGGTGTGGCTTGGTGGGCATGGCAGGGGAAGGATACTGCAAAATCTCCATTCCCACCCCACTCCTGGGGGAAGGATACTGCAAAATCTCCATTCCCACCCCACTCCTGGGGGAAGGATACTGCAAAATCTCTATTCCCATTCCACTCTGGGGCCAGCCAGAGGTGGTATTTGCCGGTACTCTGAAATACTCAAAATTTCCACTACCGGTTGGTCAGAACCTGTCAGAACCTGCTGGATTTCACCCCTGCACACAATCTTAGAAGGAGAAATCTTCTTTGTAAGAGTGGATTATATTGTTCACCAATATTTAAATGAGGATTAGGTTCTTTTGGATGAAGGGACAAGGAAAATGTCCTTCGAATACTATCCTCAAATGTTTTGGAGTTACCAATTTATCATATACAGTAATTAGCCATTTTAAAAAATTAAATAGAATCATAGGACTGGAAGGGACCTTGAAGGTCTTTTAGTCCAACCCCCTGTCCAAGGCAGGAGTTTCAATTAATTATTAGAATAATTAATTATCCACCCAATTAATTTTGAGGCTACGCTGCTAGGGCCTCTCTAGGAGTCTGGGGAGGGCAAAAATGGCCTCCCCCCCCCGGAGGTCCTCCGGAGGCCAAAGTATACTTTTATCTTCTGCTAATTAGTCTGATGCAAATTTTTATATAGAACTCACACTCACCTACTTTCTAGCCTGGTGTCTCAACTACTAAACCAAACTAGCTGGATTATAACAACATTCTAAGTTAAACTAAAATAGTGTTAGCAATTCCATGTTCACCTAGGATAAGCTACAGGTACCTAATGTTGACGTGAGAGATGGTGCCCACAGGGGAGGGGGGGAAGAGTGGGTGGGGGATAGGTTACAGTGAAATGGTAGTTTTTCAGGAAGGATGCAGCACAGTCCAGAGATGGGAAGGAGACAAGAGGTGTAGTACCGCCCAGAAATGGATCAGAAACAGAAGAAGAGATTTTAAAAATCCACTCTCTAGAATCTCCCAGGGTATAGCCCTGTGATGGCGAACCGATGGCATGCATGTGGCACGCATAGCCATATCAGTGGGCATGCGAGTTCCGCTGCAGCGTGCATGCGTGCGCCAGCTGATTTTCAAATCTTCTGGGCCTACCAGAAGTAGGGAAACAGGCTGTTTCCTGCCTCCAGTGGGCCTGGGGGGGCGGGAGGCCTGTTTTTCTTTCTCACCTGGCTCCAGAGCCTTTCTAGGAGTCTGGGGAGGGTGAAAACGGCCTTCCCCACCCTCCTGGAGGTCCTCTGGAGGCCAAAAACAGGCCATTTAACAACTTCCAGAGGATCAGAAGGCCCGTTTTTGCTGTCCCCAGCCTCCAGGGCCTCTCTAGGAGTCTGGGGAGGGCAAAAACAGCCTCCCCCCCCCCGGAGGTCCTCCGGAGGCCAAAAACAGCTTGCTTAACAACTTCCGGTCCCACCGTGGGGGCGGGGCACATAGAATTACGGGTGTAGGCACACATGCGACCCCTCCACGACCTCCCCCCTTCTGGCACGCAATGGCAAAAAGGTTAGCTATCACTGGTATAGCCTTTAGTAATAGTAATAAAAGTTTAGTCTAGCAAGATTCGGTCTGCCATACATAAGCAAATAAAGAATTCAACTCTGGCTGAATTGTTCCCTGTCATCGTGTTAGGTGCAAAGAATCAGGATCATTTCTACAATTGCAGCATGGATGATTTATTCAAATCTGCATGTAAGGATCTGGTTAAGTAACAGTCAGCACTAAACTAGTGCTAGATAAGGGTCGATGGAAGTCAAGAGACGCTGGACATGGGTCTCTGGCGGCAAGGACTCTAAACTGATGACACATTTAACTCCACTTCCCAGCTCTGCCTGGTCATCTTACACAAACATTCTTGGGTTTAGTGTAAAGGTTGGTGACTTGAGGAGCTGCCCTTGGTTCTCTCCTAAAATGGGTGTAGCCCAAGTAGAGAAGTCCATTTAAACTAAATGAACAATACGAAAATCTAAGCACACATGCAGAGACCCAATCACCTCTATCCATACATTTTTGTATGTAAATACTGTCAGGCTATTTCCATGCAATATGCTTAACCACAATACATCCGTTTTCCAGATTAGCATTAGTCCAGGGCTGGAAAGGTCTTACAGAAATAGGATGTGATACAATAGTGCCAAGTCAGAGACCTGGCCTAGTACAAGCTTTCTGAAAGCTGCTTGATTTATCTCAGAATGCACTCTCATCAAAATAGCTTAGTTTCTCGTTAATTATGCATTGGATGATCAGCTCAAATGCTTTCACAATCGCTTCCTGGAACCACACGGTTAGCGCAATTGGATTTGTTTTTTCTTTATAATTATGCAGATTCCCTTGCCTGACTCTTTAAATTTTTCTGCAGCTTTGAACCAACTCCCTGCAATTATTTTTACTGTCTTGTGCATTTTAGCAATGCTTGAATTGCCCTAGAAGGAATTTCATCAGTATTATTTAAGCAGTTTTAGTTTTTCTTGAAATTCCTCACATACTTTGCTTTCCTTCAGGAAACAAAATAGATTCACCTAAACTTCTGCTGAAGCAGGATTCTAGGACAACCTCAAAAGATTTAGAGAAGGACTTCTGGTTGATGTCATGGCGAGAACGGCTTGGAAAAGAGCGAGTTCCGCCGAGCCCCACAAAATCCAGCTGGTAATCGCTGTTGGAAGACCCTATGGGGTCAAAGCCACCTTGTAGGGGTGGTGAAGAAAGGAGAGGCCCTTTGTGGACCTCTTGAAGACTTTTAATATGAATTAAATTGCAAATAACTAATCTTTATTGAAACTGGCTATTGGATTATGGATTTGAAAGACTGGAGGAACCTAGTGGATTAATTTGGATTTGGATTTTTAAGGCTACTTGACAGAACATTCTACGAGGCAAAAGAAGAAAGGTGATAGAAGAGAAGAGAAGAAGAGCTAAATAAGGTTTTAAAATTTGGACAATTGGGAAGATATGTAATTGGAAAATCACAAGGCTGTAAAGTACTAAAGAATTTTAAAGATGATAAACTTAGGGGATTGATTGAATTTTATTAAGTAGGATTTTTTAAATATTGAGACTTTGGAACAAAAGAGGTACACTAAGTAATCTTTATTAAATTGTCACAAAATGGATCTACAGGGGAAAATAGAGGCAAATGAGAAAAAAAAAACTTGATGCTTAGATATAAAGAACAATAAGGAGACAAAGGGATTATCTAAAGATAAAGAAATGAGTGTAGAAGCCACTCAACAATTGGGGGAAAAAGATGAACATGATATTCGGGAAATAGATGAGAAATTAGAAGAAGCAGTGGAAGGAAAAAAACCAAAACGAGATGCAAGAAGATAAAGATAATAAAGGATTAATAAGTCGGAATCAATTGATATTTCCTTAAAAGCTAATAATAGAACAGAGGGAAAAAAAGGAAAATCTCTTTAAAAGAAAGAAAGTCTTATTGATGGGTATTCGAATAATACAGCAGAAAGAGACAAAGGGCAACCCGAAAGGAACGTTCAGTAGATATAAAAATATCAAAAAGAGTTATAAGACTCCAAGAGAGAGAACTAAAAGGGTGATTAAAAACTCACTAAACGATGGCACTCCAAAAAGATTAAGAGATGATAGATAATGATAAAATATATTAATAAAAGAAAAAATAGAAAATACAAATAGGGAAAATAGTAGCATACATATTAACAGATAATAGAATCTATTAGAATTAAAAATAAGCTAAGTTTAGTAGGTGGAAGTTTAGGATTAGGTAATCTAATTGTATTATTAATATTAATAGTGTGTTAAAGTATAGTGTGAACTTAAACCTTTAAGGATTAGAAATTATGGGGATTCTGAGATATATTCCCGGGATTGATTAAATTTTGTTAATATTTGGCCTTATTAGTATTGCTAGTGTGTACTTTGGGAAGCTCACACTGCACAGAAACCTCCAAATTTCTCTAAAATGTTCAGCAAAATGTGATGGCAATTCCTGATGAAATTTAGCTCTCATAGATGTCTAACTACTACCATTCAAAGCATTTAAGATTCTGCCTCCACTTAATTCTGTCTTGGACTTGTCCATGGTTTCTGCATATACAGGTAGTCCTGTACATGTACATATTGTACATATATAGGTAGTCCTCAGTTTACAAGAGTTCATTTAGTGACCCTTCAAAGTTACAACAGCACTGAAAAAAGTGACATGACCATTTGTCACACTTACGACCTTTGCAGCATCCCCAGGGTCATGTGATTTACATTCAGATGATTGACAACTGACTCACATTTATGATGCTTGTAGTGTCCCAGAGTCGTGTCATCTCCTTTTGCGACCTTCTCATGAGCAAAGGCAATGGGGAAACAAGATTCACTTAACAACCATGTTACTAATTTAAGAACTGCAGTGAGTCACTTTAACAAATGAGGTGAGAAAAAGTCGTAAAGTGGAGCCAGCTCACTTCACAAATTTCTCACATAACATAAATTTTGGCCTCAATTGTGGCTGTAAGTTGAGGACTATCTATCGTATGGTCGAGAGCAGGGTTGTCAAACTCCTGGATGTGTCATGCGCTGGCCACACCCACGCCTGGTTTAGCAAAGGGGAAAAAAGTCCCGATACGTCATGTGATGCTGCCCTGACGACACATGTTTGACACCCTGCTGAAGAGCCTCCCAAGCCCAGATGGGACATTCCACAGAAGATTATGGAAATTAACAAGACTAGGGTCCTATGGGAGTTGCAGTACAAATGGACAGGCAACTACTGGCCAATCAACCAGATATTGTGGTAGCAGAAGAGGATCAGAAGATAGAGGTGGTGATGGATGTGCCAAGCAACCGCAACATTAGGAAGAAGGTGTATGAGAATCTGGAGAAGTACCAAGGCCTGAACAATGAACTGGAGAAGATGTGGAAAGTGAAGGCCAAAGAGGTCTCAGTTGTAGTAGGACCACTTGAGGCTGTGATTCCTAAGCTGGGAAAGTGGCTCCAATAGATCCCAGGAAGAATATCAGAGCTCTCTTTTCCAGAAAAGCTAGGAAAAGAAACCTTAGCTAGGAACAGCTAAGTTTCTGCACAGAACTCTCAAACTCCCATGCCTCTGGTGGATGATCCAAAATTGAGGAAGACAGACCACTCATAAGAATGAGAAGGGAAATGCATTGACAGTATATTAAATGATGATATTAAATACCATCAAATTATGAATTAGGAAATCAATTATTAAAAGTCTCATAAAATGCAAGAATCAATCAATCAATTCCAGACTCAGTAAAACTGATGGTGCCTGGAAAGTGATGATCAACAAGCAGAAATATTTGAGCATGTGATGCAAGAAGACAACCAGCTAGGGAAAAAAATATATCTTGGCGAGAGTGAAGGAAATAATGAAGAGGTAGGATTAGGTGGATGGATAGAATCAAGAAAATGACAGGAATGACCAAATTTACTGGTTGTCACTGGAGACAAGTTGAGATGTTGGGCGTTTACAATCACCAGTGATCAAGCCCAGTTCAATGGCTCATAGTTAAGATGATAGTAAAGTAAAAATAAATCAGTTGTGACAAAAAGACACCTGCTTAGTTGCTAGACTAGATGGATTAATGTTCCAGATAAAATACTGAAATGCTGGGCAGCTTCCTTTAGTTGGTCAATTTCAGAACTGCAGAAAAAACAATTGTTATCAACCTGCCTTCCATTGAGGACCTGCATACTGCACGAGTCAAAAAGAGGGCTGTGAAAATATTTACAGACCCCTCGCATCCTGGACATAAACTGTTTCAACTCCTACCCTCAAAACGACGCTCTAGAGCCCTGCACACCAGAACAACTAGGCACAAGAACAGTTTTTTTCAAGAATGCCATCACTCTGCTAAACAAATAACTCCCTCAACACTGTCAAACTATTTACTAAGTCTGCACTACTATTAATCTTCTCATCTGCTCATCCTTCCCATCACCCATCTCCTCCCACTTATGACTGTATGACTGTAACCTTGTTGCTGGTATCCTTATGATTTATATTGATATTGTTTCCTGATTGCTTATTTGTTCCCTATGACTATCATTAAGTGTTGTACCTTCTGATTCTTGATGAACGTATCTTTATGTACACTGAGAGCATATGCACCAAGACAAATTCCTTGTGTGTTCAATCACACTTGGCCAATAAAGAATTCTATTCTACTCTACTCTACTCTACTCTACTCTACTCTACTCTACTCTACTCTACTCTACTCTACTCTACTCTACTCTATTCAGATGTAAAGGGACTACCAAAGTCCAGCATTCTCAATCAACACCACCATTGTCCATGCTAGCTGGAAATTCTGAAAATTGCAACCTTGGAGCAGTATTTCTCAACTTCAAGCTTCCAAGGTTGAGAAACACTGCTCTAGAGCTACATTCCTTCTGAAATTGATCCTGCCCCAAGAAAAGTTGCCACCACATTTCATGCATCATAAAAAGGAACAAACAGAAACAACAACAACAAACAAAACTGGAGAAAATTTGGAGCTGCCTTCTCAGATTTGAAAATGTCCATACAAATCCAGAATTTAAAGAAAACACTTTTCAGTTTCCAGCAGATGCTACCTCTCCTGAAACTTTCTTAGGCTATATGGCAAGATGCAAGAAGTTTTTGAAGATTTTTCCTCACTTACAAAAGGGGAGAATCATTCAAGGAAATGGGAATATTTTGCAAATCTGTGGGTCTCCAGGTATTCTTGATGACTGTTTCAAAGGGGAAACAACCACAATTAAGAACAGAATTTCCATTGCTAAGCAAGATGGTTGTTAAATGAATCGTGCCCAATTTTATGACTTTTTTTGCCATGATTGCTAAACAACTTACTGCAACTATTAAATGAATCATGCGCTTGTTAAGCAAAACCAGCTTCCCAGAAGCCAGCTGGGAAGGTTGCAAATGGTCCAGGATGCTGAAACCATCGTAATTTACATGCCAAGCACTCAAATTTTGATCATGTGACTGTGAAGATGCTCAGTGGTGGGATTCAAGTAATTTAACAACCGGTTCTCTGCCCTAATGATTTCTTCCAACAACCACTTTGCCAAACTGCTTAGAAAGTTAACAACCAGTTCTCCTGAAGTGGTGCAAACTGGCTGAATCCCACCACTGGAGATGCTACAACAGTTGTAAGAGCGAGGACCAGAGATGGGTTTCAGCAGGTGCTGACCAGTTCTGGACAATCGGTAGTGGAAATTTTGAGTAGTTCAGAGAACTGGTAGTAAAAATTCTGACTGGCCCCGCCCCCATCGATACTCTGCCTCCCAAGTCCCAGCTGATCGGGAGGAAATGGGGATTTTGCAGTATCCTTCCCCTGGAGTGGGATGGGAATGGAGATTTTACAGTATCCTTCCCCTGCCATGACCACCAAGCCATGCCACGCCCACCAAGCCACACCCACAGAACCGGTAGTAAAAAAATTTGAAACCCACCACCGGCAAGGATCCATCAAAAATCACTTTTTTCCAGTGCCGTTGTAACTCTGAACATATGGCTGCTAAACATATGATTGTGAGTTGAGGACTACCCGTATAAGCAATGTATCAACAACTATAGAGTTTATGTCTTTGTACAGCTAATATTGGTCTGCCAAGAAATAAGACTAGATGCCCCCAGCTTCTTTCAGGCCTCTGTGTCTTTTATCTGTAGTTGTAAATTAATTATTCAATTACTCTGTCACTTTATATGACTTGAGTACTCTAGCATCCGGGCTCTTAGCTCTTGCTGGCTAGGAGCCTAATGATTACTGTATTTCTGTTAGCAAATCAAGAAAACCAATTTGAATCTCTTCAATTGTTTTGGCTTAATTTTTTTCAGCTAAGCATTAGCACCAGAGAAGCTACATTGAAGCCTTGTGACTGCAAGTTGTCCTCTCTCTTGAAGGGGGAAGCAAAATAGCTTGCCCGGTTTGGAGAAAACTATGGTCAGCTCAACTTGGAGATGTACAGTATCTTCTAGCCACAGGATGTTCACATGTGCCCACCACCATCACTGCTGCCACTGTGACTCACCATCACCGGAGTCCCATGCACTGCCTCCAGCCCCACGAATGCGTTGCCTTCGCTGACCAACCGCTGGCGCAGCTGCAGAGGCTTTGATGAGATGTAACTGCAGTCGACATGGACCGAGATCACCTGGCTTTGAATGCTGACTGCCATTTTGTGCCACTTCAAGTCAAAAAGGGAGGTGATGCCTTTGCCAGCAAAGACTACGCCAATCGCTTCCCCGTGATGGTCCTTGGCCTGGAACTCCAGACTCCGCTCTTTGCTGTTGATCCCCAGGGAGAGCTGAAAAGATAAAAGGAAGAAGAGAGGGTGCTGAATAGAAGGATGTTCTAAGAGAGAGAGAGAGAGAGAGAGAAGAGAGAGAGAGAGAGAGAGAGAGAGAGAGAGGGAGGGAGGGAGGGAGGGAGGGAGGGAGGGAGGAGAGAGAGAGAGAGAGAGAGAGAGAAGGGAGAATGGAGGCTGGAAGGCTGACTTCTTAATGGAGAGAAAAGGACAGAATTTTATGAGAGCTGATAAATCCAGAAGACTTGCAAGTAGTCTTCAGCTTATGATCACCATTGGGACCAGATTTTCCATTACTAAACAAGGTGGTTGTTAAATGAGTTGTGCCCACTTTTTATGACTTTTCCCCCCAAGTTTGTTAAATGAATCACCTGCAGTTGTTAAGCAAATCCAGCTGTGAAGGTTGAAAAGATTGATTACATGATGGTGAAACTATCGTAATGACATGTCAAGTGCTGAATTTTGATCCTATAAAGCTAAGATGGTTGTAAGTGCGAGAACCATCCTTGCTGCAGCCATTGTAAATACATCCCAGGTGCCTGGATTTTAACCAGGAGACAGTGAGAGTGACTTCTGACCGGTCACTTAGCGACCGTTCAAATTTTTCACCTAGCTGAAAAAGAAGACTGATGACCTGATCCAAAGTTCCAATGGTTGCCACCTCACCCCTTTGGCTACTTGAGCAGGGGCCTCCAAGGTCCAATCTATTCTATTCTATTCTATTCTATTCTATTCTATTCTATTCTATTCTATTCTATTCTATTCTATTCTATTTCTACCCTACCCTACCTTACCCTACCTATTCCACCCTACCCTACCCTACCCTACCCTATTCCACCCTATCCTACCCTATTCTATTCTATTCTATTCTATTCTATTCTATTCTATTCTATTCTATTCTATTATTCTATTCTATTCTATTCTATTTACCCTACCCTACCTTACCTACCCTATTCCACCCTACCCTACCCTACCCTACCCTATTCTATTCTATTCCACCCTACCCTACCTACCTAACCTATTCCACCCTACCCTATTCCACCCTACCCTACCTACCCTACCCTACCCTACCCTACCCTACCTATTCTATTCTATTCTATTCTATTCTATTCTATTCTATTCTATTCTATTCTATTCTATTCTATTCTATTCTATTCTATTCTACCCTACCCTACCTTACCCTACCCTATTCCACCCTACCCTACCCTACCCTACCCTATTCTATTCTATTCCACCCTACCCTACCCTACCCTACCCTATTCCACCCTACCCTATTCCACCCTACCCTACCCTACCCTACCCTACCCTACCCTACCCTACCCTATTCTATTCTATTCTATTCTATTCTATTCTATTCTATTCTATTCTATTCTATTCTATTCTATTCTATTCTATTCTGCAACATGGCTGCATTTATAGCCATTTGCATCATCCCATGGTCATGTGGTCATATTTTACAACTGTTGTGCTAAAAACAGGCCACTTTCAGCAAACCCACGCCCATGACCATGGCAATTATTATATGACCACTACATTTGCTTAACGATCATCACAAAAAAAAATCATAAAATCATGCCGGTCACATGACTTTTTTGTTTTACAATAGTTACGACTTACAACTGTAATGGCCAGGTCCCATTATGGTTGTAACTCCAAGGACTACCTGTAGTGATATTTTGCTATAAAAGAAATTGAACCTTAAATTATAATTAAAATGAGATCTTAAGTAATAACAAAAATCCTTAGAAAAACAGGGAGAGTTTTGTTCCGATGACGATATTACCTGGATGAAATTTATCAGGTTCCTTTTTGAACACTTTTCTTGCAAATTAACTTGGTTTAATCTGTCTAAATGTTATATATCTGGTCATAAATATATAGTAATAACAGGTAAGGAGAGATGACTGTTCTATGTTTCTGCATCATTTTTTATCCTATGTAAAAATGACTGATTTATGTGAATTTTCTTTAATATATGCATGCTTACCAGCTCTTTTCCTTTATATAATGCTTTCATATACACATTTTCCTTAATGTAATGCATGTTAATGCATAACTTAGTGTTCAACCTGCCTTGCAAAATTCTGAAAAGGTTACTTGATGCCTGACAGTCTATGGAGATTCTCGGTCATCCAGGTCATGGTTGTCCCAAAGGTGCTTTTTCAAGAGGCAACTGGACTTTCCTGTTGCCTCTTGAAAAAGCACCTTTGGGACACTGATGCCTGACACATTTGAAGGTTACCTGATGCTTAACTGATTTGGAAGACAGCAAGCTGGGCTAAGTTCTCCACCCCACGCAGAGAATATTCCTTCTGCATCACATAACTGGTGAATTCTCCATCCTGTGAGGGTTAAGACAGGACATTGTTCCATCTCTCGCTTTGATGGAGCAGGCTGTGGTGGACTCTGCAATTTGTATTTCAGCACCTTGTGGGAACTCAGCCATTACTTTAGTGTGAACAGGGTCACCACACTCAGTGACAACTTTTCTTTCTGGGTCCATTGCACAATGAATGAACACAACAATCATACATTATTAACTCAAGTTCAAGCATGTATAAACTATATGTTTATACATGCAAGCACAATCCCATTGGCACCGTTAGAGCTGAAAGGGCAAGGGATGAAGCAGATCAATCCTTGACTAATTCAAGGAAGGAAGGAAGGAAGGGAGGGAGGGAGGAGGGGAGGGAGGGAGGAAGGAAGGAAGGAAGGAAGGAAGGAAGGAAGGAAGGAAGGAAGGAAGGAAGGAGGTTTAACAGGTTAGCTAGGGGGAAACAACTGGAAAACAATGGATCAGAGAGGCGATGGAAAGACTAGACCAAGTTAGATGGTTATACCTGGGGGTATCCCTGAGGGTCAGTGATCTGGAAGAGATACCAGTTCTCTTTGGTAGTCTGCTTCTTCAAGAGTAGAGTGATGATCAAAGTGAATTCATCGGGCAAACCCCGGGGGAACAGCTGTCTGGGAATAAAGAAGAGGACAGAGATGTGAGTAGACAAGTCTTTCCTCCTTTGGAACATTTCATCAGAAGAGTTACTCAGAAGATACAACCGAGTTGCTGACCAAGTCCAATCACTAACTATTAGATCAGCCTTTGATATCTCCAGAAACTTTTCTACAGAGTCTCAGAAAAGATTTATTTATTTATTTATTTATTTATTTAATATAACTTATATGCCGTCCTATCTCCATAGGACTCAGGGCAGCTCACAACAATTAAAACAAGCCAATAAAAACATAAAATACATACATAAACAAATATTAAAACCCATTAAAATAATCGAAAACCCCCTCAGTTCAGGCTAGGCGCCGCGAACAGCCATGTTTTTAATTCACGGCGGAAGGTGCGGAAGTCAGGAGCCAGCCGGAGCCCCAGGGGGAGTTGATTCCAAAGGGTGGGCGCACCCACAGAGAAAGCTCTACCCCTGGGGGCTGCCAGCCGACATTGTCTATCTGACAGTACCCGGAGCAGGCCCTCCCTGTGGGAACGCACCAGGCGATGGGAAGCCGTTGCTGGTTGCAGATGGTCCGCCAAGTATCCTGGGCCTAAGCCATGTAGAGTTTTATAGGTCCTTACCAGCACCTTGAATCTCACCCAGAGGGCAACCGGCAACCAATGCAAGTCGTGCAGGAGAGGTGTAACATGGGAGTATCGGGATCTCTTTCCTCATAGCCTAACATACTTAAACAAAAGAATCAGGGGAGAAGAATCCTGCAGATGGATGTGTGCACATTTTGAAATTTTATTTATTTATATTCCAGCCTTATTATTTTTAGAAGTCCAGTAAGTCAAAGTGACGAAAATATCTAATATTCCTCCCACTCCAAATTTTCCACACAACAACCCTGTCTGGTGGGTTCAGCTAAGAGAAATTGATTGACCCAAAGCCACCAACCTGGCTTTTATGCCTAAAGTGGGACTAAAACTCAGACTTTCGGCCATCACCAGGAGACATTGAGTTGTATTTCCTCCTTAGGCGTGAAAAATGGTTGGGTCACTCACTCTCTCTCTCTCTCTGCCCAGACTTTGTCACAGGGCTGTCTTTGTAAGGGAACTAGGAGGAAGAAGGAGCATTAAGTTATGTTTGCCAAATTGCGTTATTTATAAAATAATAAAATAAAATAAAAAATGATAAAAAACTAAAAATGCACAAGGTTTTTAACTTTTTAAAAAATTAATAAATATATATTAAAAAGACAAAAGCTATATTATGGGATAAAAACAGTGGTGAAATGCAGCCGCTTCTATCCAGCTCGAGCGAACAGGTAGCGCCAGCGGTGGGAGGCTCGCCTGCCCACCCACCCAGACATCATCACGTCCTGTTTTTGGCCTCTGCACATGCGCAGAAAGCTCTGTGCATGTGTGGAGGAGGCGTACACGCTCACATTTGCGAACTGGTAGCAAAGATAAGTGGATTTTACCCCTGGGTGAAAATATTAAGTAAGTGAGTGAGTGAGTGGGTGAGTGAGTGGGTGAGTGAGTGAGTGAGCGAGCGAGCGAGCGAGCGAGCGAGCAAACAAACAAACAAACAAACAAACAAACAAACAAACAAACAAACAGTAAACCATAAAAGGGATCTAGGAATCCTAGTGGACAACCACTTAAATATGAGCCAACAGTGTGCTGCAGGTGCCCAAAAACACAGTCCTAGGTTGCATCAACAAAGAGATGGAATCCAGATCATGTGAAGTGTTAATACCACTTTATAATGCCTTGGTTAGGCCACACTTGGAATGCTGTATCCAGTTTTGGTCGCCACGATGTAGAAAAGATGTTGAGACTCTAGAAAGAGTGCAGAGAAGAGCAACAAAGATGATGAGAGGACTGGAGGCTGAAACATACAAAGAACGGTTGCAGGAACTGGGTATGTCTAGTCTAACTGAGCCATGGTGGTGCAGTGGTTAGAATGCAGTATTGCAGGACTTCCGGGTTTGTCTGCCACCGGCGAAGACGGTCGCTTCTGAAGGACCGCCAGCCCAGCCGCCTGTAGAGCCGCTCCGAGTGAGGGGAGCGGCTTGAAAACTCCTAAATCCTGAGGATTCGAGGAGAAGAGTGAAGCAAGAGGCAGGTCGAGCCCCTGTGAACCCCCAGAAGTTTGCTACTGGGGAGGAAACGGGCGTGGCTCCCTTTCAACTTGCGGAGACTCCGGACGGCGTGGGACGACTCTGCTTGTCAGAGCAAGCCGGCTGCAGCAAACATTTAAATTGATGAAAAATAATTTTATTACAAAACAACCTCAACCCCCAAACCAAGAAACTGCAAGTAACTCTTTGTTTTTGAACTTTTGATTTGGGAAAAGGCCAGAGTGAGCGGAACGGCTTGAAAAAAATGGCGCTGTTCCAGCGTTAACGAGCTGAAAGGGAGAGTGATCTTGCAAAGCTATTTGAACAAGCTACATTGTAGCACTGCTTGTAGCAAGTGAACAGAGAAGAGTGGAAGAAAAAATTCCTTTTAACATAAACCTGAGCTTGCTTCAGCTTACTTAATTTCTAATTTGGTTAAATCTGGGGGACTTTTTCAAAGGACTTTGTGGAGGTGCAAAGGAAAAAAGACTTCCTTTTTTAGAAAAGTTAATTTACGTGGCAGAATGGCTTCAAAGAAACAGGAAGGAAAGGCTGCAGGGGAGGGATCTCCCACTCATAAACCGGAACAGCAGCCCCCTCCCAGCCAGCAGGGTGAGGGAAAGGACTTTGATGTTCAAAATTTGAAGGACTTTATTACCCAGGCTCTGGATGATAAATTTCAAAAATCACAACAGGAAATGAAGAAAGAAATTAATGAATTTAAAGAGGCAATGAAAGAGAATTATGACAAGGTGTCTGACAAATTGACAAATGTGGTTTCTGATCTGGCAGAAACCATTAGCAAAGTGGATTCCAAACTGGAAGAATTTAAATCAGAAGTTAATGTTAAAATGAAGGATACTGATTCTAAAATTGTTGATGTGGACAATAAAGTGCAGAGAGTTGAAAATGAGATTACAATGTTACAGTTTCGATCCATGGAATTTGCTATTAGGCTTCGAGGAATAAAAGAAAATGATAGGCAAGATTTGAGACAGATTTGTTCAGATGCCTTGGCTGTATTGTTAAAAATTGATCCAGCAGACGTGGTCTATAAAATAGATAAAATTTATAGAGTAAATTCATGGGTGGCTAGACAAAGAAAATTACCCAGAGATGTGGTGATATATTTTACAGACAGAAGAATAAGAAATGATATTTTGCAAAGATCCTTTCTTTCCTCTGTGCAAGTGGAGGGAGCTCAAATTGGAGTTTATAAGGAATTACCACCTAAGATGTTAAAAGATCGAAAAGAATATAGGTTTCTAGTGAATGAATTGCAAAAGCAAGAAATACCATTCCGGTGGGATGCCCCAACTGGTATAATTTTGAAGTATAATGGAGAAGGACACCGATTGAATACTTTTCAGAAGGCGGAATATTTTTACTATAATATTCTTAAAGAAAGATCATCATCCCCACGTACATCTACAATGCTGGAGATAAAAAGTGATAAGGAAAAGCAATTTCAGCATGAGAGGGAACAACAGTCCAAGCAGACGGAATTAGTGGAAATGCAGGGAGCTGTAGGAGGAGGAGGCCTTATGGAGGAATCCCTGCTAGAATCTTCACCAATTTTGTCAACAAGAGATGCTGTTTTGGATCCAGCTCGGATACCTGAAGTTAAGGACCAACGTATAACTCGCGCAGTCTCCAAGCAAATAAAAGAAAAACAACAACAAGTAAGTCAACATAAAGGGGGAGCCAAAAGCACCACACAAAGTGAAGCTATGGGGGGAGCAAAGCCGAAGACCTCAGAAGAAGCGAGGCAAGGCAGCTCATCGCTTCAGAAAGGTCAAGATGACAATTAGGCTTTTATCTTGGAATGTTAACGGATTAAACTCACCACAAAAAAGGAACAAGTTATTTACATATCTGAGACAATTTAATAATGACATAATTTGTCTACAAGAAACTCATATTCGAACTCAAGATCACAAATATCTGATAAACTCCAAATTAGGAACACATTTTATAGCTTCAAACTCGGAAAAAAAGAATGGTGTGGTTATTTATGTAAATAAAAGATTGTCTGCTAAAATTATAGAAGCAGATGAAGGTGGTAGGTTTATTGCAATTGAATTGTATACAGCAAATGGCCAAATTCTTCTGATTGGAATTTATGCTCCGAACCAACAACAGGATCATTTTTATAAGACTTTACATAATAAAATATTGCAATGGGATTATAGATCTATTTTAATAATGGGAGATTGGAATGGAGTAATTGATTCTAAACTAGATAAAAAGAGTTTGGCGAAAGTAAGGATCAGACTACCACAGACCTTTTTTGATATGAAAGAAGATTTGGAATTAAAAGATATATGGAGAATTTACAACCCAAAAGAATTGGACTATACTTTTTTCTCTGACAGACATAGATCTTTTTCCAGGATTGACTTTATCTTGTTATCAGATGATTTACTTGTTAAAACAAAAAGAACAAAGATATTTCCAAGAACTTTAACTGATCATAGTTCTGTATGGATAGAAATTGAGATGGGAAACGGTCACATGACTTTTTTGTTTTACAATAGTTACGACTTACAACTGTAATGGCCAGGTCCCATTATGGTTGTAACTCCAAGGACTACCTGTAGTGATATTTTGCTATAAAAGAAATTGAACCTTAAATTATAATTAAAATGAGATCTTAAGTAATAACAAAAATCCTTAGAAAAACAGGGAGAGTTTTGTTCCGATGACGATATTACCTGGATGAAATTTATCAGGTTCCTTTTTGAACACTTTTCTTGCAAATTAACTTGGTTTAATCTGTCTAAATGTTATATATCTGGTCATAAATATATAGTAATAACAGGTAAGGAGAGATGACTGTTCTATGTTTCTGCATCATTTTTTATCCTATGTAAAAATGACTGATTTATGTGAATTTTCTTTAATATATGCATGCTTACCAGCTCTTTTCCTTTATATAATGCTTTCATATACACATTTTCCTTAATGTAATGCATGTTAATGCATAACTTAGTGTTCAACCTGCCTTGCAAAATTCTGAAAAGGTTACTTGATGCCTGACAGTCTACGGAGATTCTCGGTCATCCAGGTCATGGTTGTCCCAAAGGTGCTTTTTCAAGAGGCAACTGGACTTTCCTGTTGCCTCTTGAAAAAGCACCTTTGGGACACTGATGCCTGACACATTTGAAGGTTACCTGATGCTTAACTGATTTGGAAGACAGCAAGCTGGGCTAAGTTCTCCACCCCACGCAGAGAATATTCCTTCTGCATCACATAACTGGTGAATTCTCCATCCTGTGAGGGTTAAGACAGGACATTGTTCCATCTCTCGCTTTGATGGAGCAGGCTGTGGTGGACTCTGCAATTTGTATTTCAGCACCTTGTGGGAACTCAGCCATTACTTTAGTGTGAACAGGGTCACCACACTCAGTGACAACTTTTCTTTCTGGGTCCATTGCACAATGAATGAACACAACAATCATACATTATTAACTCAAGTTCAAGCATGTATAAACTATATGTTTATACATGCAAGCACAATCCCATTGGCACCGTTAGAGCTGAAAGGGCAAGGGATGAAGCAGATCAATCCTTGACTAATTCAAGGAAGGAAGGAAGGGAGGGAGGGAGGGAGGGAGGGAGGGAGGGAGGAAGGAAGGAAGGAAGGAAGGAAGGAAGGAAGGAAGGAAGGAAGGAAGGAAGGAGGTTTAACAGGTTAGCTAGGGGGAAACAACTGGAAAACAATGGATCAGAGAGGCGATGGAAAGACTAGACCAAGTTAGATGGTTATACCTGGGGGTATCCCTGAGGGTCAGTGATCTGGAAGAGATACCAGTTCTCTTTGGTAGTCTGCTTCTTCAAGAGTAGAGTGATGATCAAAGTGAATTCATCGGGCAAACCCCGGGGGAACAGCTGTCTGGGAATAAAGAAGAGGACAGAGATGTGAGTAGACAAGTCTTTCCTCCTTTGGAACATTTCATCAGAAGAGTTACTCAGAAGATACAACCGAGTTGCTGACCAAGTCCAATCACTAACTATTAGATCAGCCTTTGATATCTCCAGAAACTTTTCTACAGAGTCTCAGAAAAGATTTATTTATTTATTTATTTATTTAATATAACTTATATGCCGTCCTATCTCCATAGGACTCAGGGCAGCTCACAACAATTAAAACAAGCCAATAAAAACATAAAATACATACATAAACAAATATTAAAACCCATTAAAATAATCGAAAACCCCCTCAGTTCAGGCTAGGCGCCGCGAACAGCCATGTTTTTAATTCACGGCGGAAGGTGCGGAAGTCAGGAGCCAGCCGGAGCCCCAGGGGGAGTTGATTCCAAAGGGTGGGCGCACCCACAGAGAAAGCTCTACCCCTGGGGGCCGCCAGCCGACATTGTCTATCTGACAGTACCCGGAGCAGGCCCTCCCTGTGGGAACGCACCAGGCGATGGGAAGCCGTTGCTGGTTGCAGATGGTCCGCCAAGTATCCTGGGCCTAAGCCATGTAGAGCTTTATAGGTCCTTACCAGCACCTTGAATCTCACCCAGAGGGCAACCGGCAACCAATGCAAGTCGTGCAGGAGAGGTGTAACATGGGAGTATCGGGATCTCTTTCCTCATAGCCTAACATACTTAAACAAAGGAATCAAGGGAGAAGAATCCTGCAGATGGATGTGTGCACATTTTGAAATTTTATTTATTTATATTCCAGCCTTATTATTTTTAGAAGTCCAGTAAGTCAAAGTGACGAACATATCTAATATTCCTCCCACTCCAAATTTTCCACACAACAACCCTGTCAGGTGGGTTCAGCTAAGAGAAATTGATTGACCCAAAGCCACCAACCTGGCTTTTATGCCTAAAGTGGGACTAAAACTCAGACATTCGGCCATCACCAGGAGACATTGAGTTGTATTTCCTCCTTAGGCGTGAAAAATGGTTGGGTCACTCACTCTCTCTCTCTCTGCCCAGACTTTGTCACAGGGCTGTCTTTGTAAGGGAACTAGGAGGAAGAAGGAGCATTAACTTATGTTTGCCAAATTGCGTTATTTATAAAATAATAAAATAAAATAAAAAATGATAAAAAACTAAAAATGCACAAGGTTTTTAACTTTTTAAAAAATTAATAAATATATATTAAAAAGACAAAAGCTATATTATGGGATAAAAACAGTGGTGAAATGCAGCCGCTTCTATCCAGCTCGAGCGAACAGGTAGCGCCAGCGGTGGGATGCTCCGCCTGCCCACCCACCCAGTCATCATCACGTCCTGTTTTTGGCCTCTGCACATGCGCAGAAAGCTCTGTGCATGCGTGGAGGAGGCGTACACGCTCACATTTGCGAACTGGTAGCAAAGATAAGTGGATTTTACCCCTGGGTGAAAATATTAAGTAAGTGAGTGAGTGAGTGGGTGAGTGAGCGAGCAAGCAAGCAAGCAAGCAAGCAAACAAACAAGCAAACAAACAAACAAACAGTAAACCATAAAAGGGATCTAGGAATCCTAGTGGACAACCACTTAAATATGAGCCAACAGTGTGCTGCAGGTGCCCAAAAACACAGTCCTAGGTTGCATCAACAAAGAGATGGAATCCAGATCATGTGAAGTGTTAATACCACTTTATAATGCCTTGGTTAGGCCACACTTGGAATGCTGTATCCAGTTTTGGTCGCCACGATGTAGAAAAGATGTTGAGACTCTAGAAAGAGTGCAGAGAAGAGTAACAAAGATGATGAGAGGACTGGAGGCTGAAACATACAAAGAACGGTTGCAGGAACTGGGTATGTCTAGTCTAACTGAGCCATGGTGGTGCAGTGGTTAGAATGCAGTATTGCAGGCTAATTTAGCCCACTGCCAGGAGTTTGATCCTCACCAGCTCAAGGTTGACTCAGCCTCCCATCCTTCCGAGGTCAGTAAAATGAGGACCCAGATTGTTGGGGGCAAGAGGCTGACTCTGTAAACCACTTAGAAAGGGCTGTAAAACACTCTGCAGTGGTATATAAGTCTAAATGCTATTGCTATGGCTAATGAAGAGAAGGACTAGGGTGACATGCTAGCAATCTTCCAATACTTAAGAGGTTGTCACAAAGAAGAGGATGTCAACCTATTTTCTGAAGCCTCTGAAGGCAGGGCAAGAAGTAACAGATGAAAACTTATGAAGAAGAGATCCAACCTAGAGCTAAGGACAAATTTCCTGACAGTGAAAACCATTAATCAGTGGAATGGCTTGCCTTCAGAAATTATGGGGACTCCAACACTGGAGGTTTTTAAGAAAAGATTGGGCAGTCATTTGTCTGAAATGGTGTAGGGTTTCCTGCTAATCCAGGAGGGTTGGATTAGAAGACCTCCAAGGTCCCTTCCAACTCTGTTATTCTGTTAAATATAAAACGACCCCATAAGAGTTAATACATGGCTAACTAAATCTATCAGAATACAAAATACTCTTAGCTAAGCAAGTCAAATACTCATTAAGGCTGGTTTGAGGCACAGGTCATCATCTGGCAGATTTTAATCACTGCTGCATAAAACCTGGCATGATTGTATGTTATAGCAGGATTAGTGTCTGCAAGCAACAGTGAGGTACAAAATTGACTTGTTGCACCCTGAGTATTTATATAGTATTGGTGAAATGAGGCTAGTATGAATGTCTAATTCATACTAAAGAAGCCTACTATGTTGTTTCTGTGTGTCCAGAGTCACAGGGACATAGTCTCTCCAAATAGGGAATTTTCCTGTCTTCTAAACAGCAGAGAGGAAGGCATGAGTAGAAGGACAATCCAAGATCATGTGACAAATTGCAGTTTGTCTCGCTACTTCTATCCATGACTAAACCCAGGGGTGGGGAACGATGGCCCTTTTATGACTCGTGGACTTCAACTCCCAGAATTCCTGAGCCAGCCTAGATAATTCTGGGAGTTGAAGTCCACAAGTCATAAAAGGGCCATCGTTCCCCTCACCCCTGACTGAATGTCACCTTCTGTCTAGCAAACCCCAAACAAACATCTTCCATTTTAAGGACATCAGCCATATTGGATGCAAGGAAAGAGGCACACTGGTTTATTGTGATGTCCACTTGTTTGAGGAGAATTTATTAAAAAAAGTATTGTTGTCAAATCAATCAGAAATACTCTAGGTTTATTTTGGGAGGCCCTTTCAACTGTCAAGGTTGTGAATGAAGGTTGCACTTGTTTATTTCTTTGATAACTGTTCTGCTTCTGGCAACTGAAGAAATCCAACATTTAATAGGAATGATCTTCTTTTAATCAAGACTGGGTTTTCATTGCTTAATGGCAAATCATCTTTCTTCTTCTTCGGGATTGAAAAAAGGGACACCTGAGATAACATGCCAATTTCCTTAAATAAAATGGATCAAATGTATTTAAAGATAGGTGCTGATTCAACCATGTACCATCTCATTAGCCGGTCATGTCAAGCTCCAAAATCCAGGAATGACATGCTGAGTTTCTTCTAGGCAGTCTCTTTTTTATTGTTCCTCACCAATAGACAGACATCTTGCCCATACATACAACTTACTTACTTACTTACTTACTTATATACATACATACATACATACATACATACATACATACATACATGCATACATACATACAACTACTTGCATATTAAAGATATATTCTGAGAGCTTCTAGGAAGGAGCTGTCCTAAACTTCTTTTGCCCAATCAAACTTCTTGCTCCTCTGAAATGTGGCCCCTCCCTCCTGGGAATCCAGACTACATTCCATCACAGGCCTGTAATAAATACAATAGTGGCCAAAATTGTGGAAACCTTTTGGTAAAAGTGTATTTTTGAGGTTTGATGGCTAATAACACCCCCCCTTTTTTTGGATAATCCTATTCCACTGCTGGAATGGCCTGGGAATAGCCCAGACCTTCACCCAATTGCAAATCTATGGAGCCGACTAAAGAAACTTGTTAGTCAGAAGCAACCCAGCAATAAAACCCAGTTAATAGAAGCCATCATTCAATCTTGGTTTCACATTATAACAGTTGCAGAACTAAAAGACTTGGTTCACTCCATGGGAAGACGTTGCAAAGCCATAATTCATGCTAAAAGTTACCCAACCAACGTGATAGTTTTTGTATATCTCGTTTTTTCTATGGTGATAATTTTTGTATATATTGTTTTTTCTATGTGTTTCACTTTTCTTCTTTATACTGTAACTGCTATTCTAATAGCAAATCCTTCATGAAAGTATTGCATTACATTCTTGATTAAATTATCTTTCCATTGATATATAATTTTATGGTACTACTCCCCCCCTAAAAAAGTGGTGTTATTAACTAGTTTTAGAAAATACACTTTTCCCAAAAGGTTTCCACAATTTTGGCCACTACTGTACTTCTGATCTGGCCATCCAATCATGTCTTTCTCTAAGCCTGAATTCCAGGGATATTTCATTCATTCGGAAGGTGCTTTACTAACACCCATAGTCACTGGTGCCCACAGAGAAGGTCAAAAAATGCAATCTGGCAAATGTGGTGCTATGATGCAAGTCTTCCTTCCCCCTTTGTACATATGTCAAGAGGGCAAGACTTGAATTATGAGGCACATCTGCCATCTTGCTTCTTTTGACCTCTACTAGCAGATGGTGTGGCTAATGCTCATACTTAAATATGGAATTGTCCAGAGTGGGGACCCAGAAGAAGAGTCCTGCTTCGTTTTATCTTTTATTTTTCTAGGCCATGCACATGTTGAAAATCCCACAGTTATGCAACGACCAAAAGTGATGTATGAATCACATGGGAAAACCTTTTCTTATCATCCAAGGTTTAATCTAAGTGAGTTATGTCCATGGTGGAAATGCTATTAGTTTTGCAACTGAACATGATCAATGTGTTCCGGGAGCCAACAGAACCGAAAAGCCAAAGGCGAAAAGTTGAGAAGGGCAATAAGCAA